GTTGTATCTTGATGCGCTACGCGATACTGAAGGTATTATTGAACTGAACACCACACACGTTTCCCGATCTATGAGGGGATTATTGCCCCCGGAAAAGCGACTAACAACTGCATCAGTGCCTTGGGACATCTCCTGCTCTACGCTACAATGTAAGTTTACACTGTATTGTCAGTTTAACTAACACCTGGGGGGGGGGGAAAAATTAACGGGGGGGGTGGGGTTGGGGGGGAATGGAAGGTATAACAACAACTCGCACTGATACAGCGCCCCGAACCCTCCGGTTTAAAATCAGTTTGACGTAGAGTGTAAACAAAACAACGCAGATGCAGGAAACCTGAAACCACAACGGAGGCCGTCGGGAACACTCAGCGGGTCAGCGACTCCCTTTCCTCTCTCCATGGATGCTGCCTGACCCGCTGAGCGTTCCCGGCGACTTCTGTCAGCCGGATGCTTGCAACGGAACGGATTTCGGATCCAATGCCTCTTACCTCCATGTCGTCGTAGAAGTCATCTTCGCAATCATCCATCGGTTCCCTGAAGCGCATCGGTGGTCTCCCCATTGGATGCCCGTCGTGCTCTTGCAATCCCCCGGGGGCGAGTAACCTGGGGGTCCATGGCCGGGCGGGGGGTAACCTGGGGGCCCATGCCCCGGGGGCCAGTGATCGGGTCCGGGGGGGCCATGTTCCGGGGGCCAGTGCCCGGGGGTCCATAGTCTGGAGGCCCGTAGTCTGGGGGTCCGTAGTCAGGTCCGGCCCTGCGTTTTGGGGGTCGGCGCCCTGGTCCGTGGCCTCGTGGTCTGTACCGGGGGGGTCTGTGACCTCCATGTCTGTGGCCTGGGGGCCTATGTTCTGGGGGGCCATGGTCTGGTCGCCCGTAACCTGGGGGCCCGTGTTCTGGGGGCCCATATTCTGGGAGTCCGTACTCTGGAGGGCCGTGTTCTGGGGGTCCGTATTCTGGGGGTCCGTATTCTGGGGGACCGTAATCGGGCGGGCCATAATCCGGGGGGCCGTAATCCGGGGGGCCATAATCAGGGGGGCCATAATCTGGGGGCCGTATTCCGGGGGCCGTGCTCCCGGGGGCCGTGCTCGCGGGGCCGTGCTCCCGGGGGCCGTGCTCCCGGGGCCGTGCTCCCGGGGGCCGTGCTCCCGGGGGCCGTGCTCGCGGGGGCCGTGCTCGCGGGGGCCGTGCTCTCGGGGGCCGTGCTCTCGGGGGCCGTGTCTGTGGTCTGGAGGTCCAAACCCTGGGGGTCCGTATTCTGGGGGCCCATGTTCTGGTGGCCCGTAGGCTGGGGGGCCACGCCCTGGACGCCCTCGGCCTGGGGGTCTATGTTCTGGGGGGCCATGCTCTGGGGGTCCGTATTCTGGGGGTCCGAAATCTGGTGGCCCGTGTTCTGGTCCGTATTCTGGGGGCCCATATCCTGGTGGTCCATGCTCTGGGGGTCCGTGCTCTGGGGGTCCGTGTCTGCGATCTGGGGTCCGTACCCTAGGGGCCCGTGTTCTGGGGGGCCGTACTCTGGGGGTCCGTATTCTGGTCCATGATCTGGGGGGCCGTACCCTGGGGGGCCGTGTTCTGGTCCATGTTCTGGCGGGCCGTTTCTGGCGGGCCGTGCTCGGGGGGGCCGTGTCTGCGATCTGGGGGGCCGTACCCTAGGGGCCCGAGCTCTGGGGGCCCGAACCCCGGGGTCCATATTCTGGTCCAGGTCTGTGTTTTGGGGGCCGGTGTCCTGGGGGCCCATACCCTGGGGGGCCATGCTCTGGGGGGCCGAGTTCAGGAGGTCCGTGTCCCGGCCCATGATCGGGGGGGCGGTGGTCGGGGGGTCTGAGGTCCGGTGGTCCGTATCCTGGGGATCTCTGTTCTGGGGGTCCATATTCTGTTCCAGGCCCATGTTCTGGGGGGCCGTGCACTGGAGGTCTGTGCTCTGGGGGTCTGTGTTCTGGAGGTCTGTGCTCTGTCCCGAGTTCTGGGGGACCCTGTATTGGCGGTCCGTATCCTGGGGGTCCATATTCTGGACTAGGCCCACGCTGGGCGTCCACGTCCTGGGGTCTATGTTCTGGGGGACCATGCCTCAGGGGTCTGTGTTCTGGGGATCTCGGTTCTGGGAGTCCGTATTCTGTTCCAGGCCCATGTTCTGGTGGCCGTGCCTTGGCGGACCGTGCCTTGGGGGTCTGTGTTCTGGTGGTCCATGATCTGGTGGTCCATGATCTGGGGGACCGTGATCTGGGGCGCCGTATTCAGGACTAGACCCTCGCTCCGGGCGTCCCGTCCTGGGGGTCTATGATCTGGGGATCTGTGTTCTGGGGGCCATGCCTTGGGGGCCTGTGATCCCGTGATCCTGGGGGCCGTGATCTGGTGGTCCGAGCTCCGGTCCAGGCTCGTGTTCTCGGCTGGGCTCGTGATCTGGGGGTCCGTGACCATGCCCTTGCCCCCATCCTCCTCTGCCTCCTCTTCCTCCGCGCCCCCTGGCCCTTCCCCGTCCACCTCTTCCTCGCACCCCACGTCCCCTTCCTCCGCCTCTCCCTGGCCCTGCAGCAAGAGTACAAAAGTTTTGGTTCACCATAAAGGAACAACAACAACAACTTGCATTTACACAGTGCCCTTCAGGCGGGTAGCGCCCCGGAGCACTTGACAGTGGCAGAGTCTGGCCCCTGAGCCAGGAGGAGAGGGAGGGAGAGGGGAGGTGACCGTAAGCATGATCAAAAAGGAAGATCTTTAGGCAGGATTTGATAGTGGGGAGGGGGCAAAGCGGAGGGATCGAGGGGAGAGCTCCAGTGTTTTGGAGCGTAGTGGCCGAAGGCATGGCCGTCGATGGTGGAGCTGAGGGCCCGAGGGACAAACTGGTGGCCGGAGCCATTCCTCTTACAAAGGAGTAAGAGTTTTACAATTATAGTGGACACCACTTCAGTTGGACGCCTATTAACCCCGGACGCTGGGTGAATTGAACAAAACCACACCCCCCCGATTCATTTGTATTAAGCAGGGCCTGGCGTGATTGTACAGATTTACACGGAGCAGGAAAGTGTTTGGGCTCAATGAGAAAGCAACTACAATCGGGCTGGAGATCGTAGAATCATAGAACATTACAGGACAGAAGGAGGCCATTCAGCCCATCATGCCTGTGCCAGCTCTTTGAAAGAGCTACCAACTAGTCCCACTCCCCCACTCTTTATCCCCATACCCCTGCAAATTTTTCCTTTTCAAATGCCTATCAAGTACCTGTCCTATCAAGTACCCAGACTGGAAAAGTCAGTTAATGCTGCCAGAACAGGTCCTTTCGTGCGAGGACGAGATTAGACTTGGCTGCACCTCCCCACAATTGACTAGCCTGAGAACAGTTCACAGTCTGGGAAAAGACCATTTGGGTTCGGGAACTGTACTGTAGTAACGGGCTCTGCCTTGTGGAGGAGAGAGGACTGGCGAGTAAACCCACCTGACATCCCACGGCCCCTGTGTGGCATCGGCATGTGGGGCTGCTGCTGCGGTGGCCGGTGAGGTTGGGAAGCCTCCTTTGCCTTTCTGTACTGGTGCAGCTCTTTGGCAAAGTCGTCATATCCTTGGCCTTGTCCGTCAGGCACAGGTTCCTCCTCGGCCTCATATTCGCCATACTGCTCGTCCTTGTACTCCTCGTAGGCTTTGTAGTTTGCCTTCTCAGCTTTCATGTAGACTTTCTTTGGCGGAGGGGGCTGGGGATATGGGGGCTGAGTTGAATAGAATAGAACAGAACAGAACACACCCGCAGAGTAATCAGACAGGTCGAGGAATTACAGGTAACTAGCAAAACACAGAGACAGGCACAAAGGCTTCAGGTTCTGCTCAACTGAAAAATAATAATAATAATAATCCTTCCATGTTTTAGCACCTTTCACGCCTCCGAGACGTCTCAAAGCGCTTCATAGGACACACTGTGAAGTGAATTGACTTTATTTTTGTGGGCAAAGCGCGGCAGCGAATTGCGCGCAGCAGCGTCCCACAAACACTCGTGGAATTGAGTGACAAATTATTATTATTTAATTTATTTTTTCAGGGACTCCAGAGATTGTTAGCCTGGACTGTGAACGCACAACCTACCGGCCCAGAGCTACTGACTGACTGAGCCAATCTGACACCCGCACAAATAGTTCTCCAAATGGATGTGTATCATAGGTGTTTCATTTCAAGTACAGAAATTGATTCCAGAACAAAGAGAGGACAGAATTAATGCTGCTGCTGCCTTACCTGTGTATACGGAGGGCTGTATTCACGGTATTTCCGGTAACCCTTCTCCTCAGGGCTGTAATCAGACTCATCACTGAAATCAGAGTAATCATCGCTGGAAGACACGTGTCTCTGGCAAGGACAACAGGAGCAAAAGAGTTAAAATAAAAAACATTAACGTGCTTTTAAAGCACTGTAACTGAACAACCTAACAAATTGTCACATCATCAGTCATTGACACCATTTCACCATCACATGCCCTTAAAAATTTACTTTTCCCCTTTCCTTCCCTGTCCATTAATAATAATCATTGTCCTTTCATTAGATATGGCGCTTTTTCACGTCATTGAGACATCTCAAAGCGCTTCACAGAATATACTGTAAAATGGATTTAGGGCTGAATACCTTGTGCTTTGATTTTCGTTTCTTTTTGGATCTCTTCTTTTCTTTTTCACGCTCTTTCTTCCTCTTTCTCTTCAGCCTCCGGTGGCCTTGTCCTTATCTTTATCCTCGTCCTCATCCTCCTTCTCGGGCTTCTCTTTCTTGCATTTCTCCTGGGAATTGTCCTGAACCTCGCTTCATCTTCCAACTCTCCCTCCTCCAACCCCCTTCTTCCCTGCGTTACCAAAGAACAGCAAATCATTCAGCGCTGTGAAGCGAGGTGAAATAAATCCGCTTAACACATCTTGGAAGCCAATATGACCCAAAAAATCCAGTGACCTAAGAAGGCTTCATCATGAACGATGCTGCATAATCAAGAGCTTCCTCCCGACGTTAAGGCACCTCACCCAAGGTAAGGATTTTATTGTACTAGGTTTAATATTTATAGTTGGCACAATTCTGCTGTAAAAAAAAGCTCAAACCAAAACAAGTCTTCTCAACAGCAGCTCAACCCCACAGATTCCGCTCCCAACAGCTTGTATATACACAGCTCCCCTCGCTTACGCAAGGTGCCAACCGAGGGGAGGTGTCCGTAGGCGCGGCCGAAGAGGACGGTCTTCGGGCTCGACCTGAAGATGGGGTCGGGAGGGGGCAAGGCGGAGGGATAGAGGAAGAGCGTTCCAGTTACTTACTAGCTCACCTCCCAATAAGGAAAATAGTTTTCGATTACAAACACAATTTTTTGTGTGAAAGAGCTACCAACCCCATCTTACTTCCCCGCTCCTTACCGCCCGGCCCTGCAAATTTTTCCTTTTCAAGTACATATCCAATTCCCTTTTGACGGCTGTTTTCGAATCTGCTTCCACCAGCCTCGCAAGACAGTGCGTTCCAGACCGTAACAACCCTCTGGCATGAAAGGTTTCTCCTCGTTTCCCCTCCGGTTTCTGATTCTGGGAAAGGGGAATCCGCCGAGAATGTTGGTCGGTTTTAGAATGTGGCCCAAACCAACTGCACAACCAACTGCGACTCTCTAATTTCCAGCATAACTTAGCTCTCCTACACACCACGTTGAGATAATTTGTAAAGAGATTAGTCGGATAATTTTTTTCCACCACAACTTTGCTTATAAGGGCTTTGTTCCGCCCACAAAATATACAGTCACTACACTTACTGTGAAGCTCTTTGAGACGTCTCAAAGACCTGATAAGGCGCTATATCAAATGCAAGGATTGTTATTATACTTTGCCCTAATTTAATGAATAATTTCACCAACACACACAGCAGTACCCCCCAGGGCCGCTGGGGCTGGAAAGCGATTTCAATTCTGCTGACGAGAAGCAAAATAGATCACAGAATTCTTACAGGTAGGAGACCATTCGCTCATCCGCCTGTCCACTCCCCCGCTGTACCCCAACCAGTCCCCACTCCCCCGCTCTTACCCCAACGAGTCCCCACTCCCCCTCTCTTACCCCAACGAGTCCCCACTCCCCCTCTCTTACCCCAACCAGTCCCACTCCCCCTCTCTTACCCCAACCAGTCCCCACTCCCCCTCTCTTACCCCAACCAGTCCCCACTCCCCCTTCTTACCCAACCAGTCCCCACTCCCCCTCTTACCCCAACGAGTCCCCACCCCTCTCTTACCCCAACGAGTCCCACTCCCCCTCTCTTACCCCAACCAGCCCCACTCCCCCTCTCTTACCCCAACGAGTCCCCACTCCCCCTCTCTTACCCCAACTAGGCCCCACTCCCCCACTCTTACGCCAACAAGGCCCCACTCCCCCTCTCTTACCCCAACTAGGCCCCACTCCCCACTCTTACGCCAACAAGGCCCCACTCCCCCACTCTTACGCCAACAAGTCCCCACTCCCCCTCTCGTACCCTAACTAGTCCCCACTCCCCCGCTCTTACCCCAACTAGTCCCCACTCCCCCTCTCGTACCCCATAGCCTCGCACATTTTCCTTCTCAAGGATAAAAAATGAAACGACTTGTGGATATAAAGATCTCAGACAGAACAGTGTAAAAGACACGAACCGGGTTACATACAGTTACAACAAGTTGCATTTATCTAGTGCCCCTCACGCAGGGTAACGTCCCAAAGCGCTTAATAGTTAAAGAGTGATGACGGCACGGAAAAAGGCTATTTATTCGGCATAACCAGTCTGTGCTGGTGTTTATGCTCCACACAAGCTCCACCCGTTCCATACCCCTCACCGATATCCCCCTCTATTCCTTCCTCCCTCATCTACGCATCAAGAACTGGACTATTTCATTTCATTTCGTTTCCACAAGCGACGGTGAATTTTCAAGGCCTGCTTTGAGATGACGCATCATTGCATTTAAACTGGGACAGAAGCAACACGTTTTCCTATCGCTGGAGATTATTCAGGCCACACACCACGTACGATATGGCTGCAGTACAATTCACGGTGAGGATATAAGACAAAGGAAATTATTTTTTTCTTACAAAGTCAATGGAGGACTTGTTTTTAAAAAAGTGTCACAATATTATGTGTTACTATTCGATCGGTAACTTTTTCTTAAAAGAGTGTCACAATATTATGTGTTGATATTCGATCGGTAACTTTTTTAAAAACATGTCGCGATATTATGTGTTAATAGTGGATCTAAAATTTCAACCTATAAGTCACTGAAGCCTTAGCTCTTGCCGACCTGCGCCTAATACTCTCCGGAATTAGGTAAACACGATGCATCCCTCCAGCGAGAGAGAGAGAGAGAGAGCGTATTCCGTTCCAACACTCTTATCTCTGGGCTTTCCACGTGAAGATGGGATTCGTGGAATTCTCTTTGGAAAATCTTACGGTGACGTTACGGTTACTAGTGAACGATGTACAGCACAGCGTGAAACAGAGGAGAACATTACAAGGCCATCACTTTGTAAACCAGTTTGAGAAAGCTCCTCCAACCTTTTTACGTCATTCGCAAAGCTCTTCGTTCGGAGGTGAGATATGTTAATAGGGTTGGGTTCATACTGAAAATTATGAGCACGATAATGCACACCTGTTAAAAAAGTGTGATTCACCACTCTTGGGAATTGTTGAACTGAAACGTGCTCAAGGGAGGAGATTGTTTTCATTCCCATTTGATTCGTAAATTCAGCGCTTGACTGGTTTTGTGGGGTTGCTGTTCCATTTTGCTAACTTATTTTCGTCCACAAAATATACAGTCAATCCATTTTACAGTATATTCTGCGAAGAGCTTTGCGACTTCTCGGCGACTATATTACAGCGCTATATCAAATGCAAGGATTATTATATATATATATATCACAGTATATTCTGTGAAGCACTTTGAGACGTCTCAATGACTTGATAAGGTGTTACATCAAATGCAAGGATTACTATTATTTCTATTACTATAAATTCAGTAGGTTTACCAAAGAGCACCCAAAATCAGCAGGTTTGAAAGAAACATGGCAGCTTTTCAGAAAATATCCAGAAATAGCCAATAACTAATCCTCTCGTTGTTTAAACGTTCAGCTATAAACAAGTGGCTCGTGCAAGTGCTTGAAAACCCTAATTTCCTACGAAAGGTTCATTCCTGAACAAAATTAAATGGAATCGGGTACTTCAAAGTGACAAAAACTTGGATAAAAGTACTTTTAACGTGGAGGACGGTCGGCCAAGAACACACTTTGCTCTCTAAATCTTTCATGTGTGCAGTTGTCCTGCAGTTTCCCAACAAAGAGAACACACGCGCACCACACACACACACACACAGAACTGGCTGCTTCCCAAGCCAGCACATACAGAACAAGCTGACTTGCACTCCAGATTCCTATCCCTGCTCTCTCGGTAAATGTCCTACTGCCGCACGGATCTGCTGCACCAAGTCCACGTCCCCCCCAGCCCACACCACAAAAACAGAAGGTCGATTATTGTCAGAAACTCAACAGAGCACAGAACTGTCACTTTATTCCCCGCACAGGGCCGCCGCTGCTAACCAACCGCTCCGACTTTGGCAGGAGTTCTGTAAAAGTGGAAGAGGCGAGCCGTCCCGAAGCCCTGCGAGTACCTACGCGGATCGTTTCACGAAACATCTCTGGAGACGGCAACGAAATATTGCGGACTGGAAGCCAGGCAGCCATGGTTTGCGGTTACTACTAGGCTGACCGACCTACCCTCCCCTACCCCCTTCCCCGTTGCCGCTGATCAGTCTTGCCTGAGTTCTACAAACACTCCCTCGCCACCGCCGAAAGTCCAGGAGCCAGAAATAGAGCCATAAATGCTGACATTCCATCATCTGCGTGCTTAGTATTCCTTTGCTGCTCTACAACAGCCATAAATCGGGAAGAAAACAGGACTGGAGCGGCCTTGGGCTAGATTCCTCAACGGCTTGATATCACAAAATACTTTGCCCCCCAAAATATATAGTCAATCGACTTTACAGTATGATTTTGTGAAGTGCTTTGAAACGTATGGAAGACCTAAGGCGCTATATCAAAATGCAAGGGTTATTAATATCATTTTTAAAAAATCAGCGATTTGTTAAAGGGTTTAAAAACTCCCCAATTATTACCGATTTATATGTAAACTTGACACGTTAATCGAGTTTCAATCATACATCTGGAACAACGTCAACCTAGCAATAGAATTAATAACCGGGCCTAGATATAAGTAAAGGAACTGTACTCTATCGTTAGGTCAGGGTATTAAGGGATACGGGGGCAAGGGAGGGTAACTGGATCATGATCTAATAGAATGGCGGAACAAGCTCGAGGGGTTGCATGGCCCCCTCCCGTTTCTGTTTCTAACCACACCTCAGTACTTAGTTGGTGTGGACATTTGCAGTGTCTGACCTGGGTTTAGGGGTCTTGCATGTACTTTCAGACTCGTTCTGTTCTAACAAGGGAATGGCAGAACCAGGCATTGCTTAAGTCAATAATCCTACTCTGTAAAAGGCAGTTGGGAAAAATCAACGGCCAATGCAGGTTAATGACCTGCACAAATGTCAGAAACCTTCAAACTGAAAGCGTAATGGAACATGGGAGACTTGAAGGAGAAAACATTTGACCAGACCACACAAAATAGTGTACCAGAAACCTTTCTTTT